TATAATAAAGTTAATAAAGGCAACCCTGAAAGATCACTCGTACGTGCATCTCACTGTGAAAAGCCATGTGAGCAAAAAGTCACCCCTTTTAACTTGCTCCCTTCGCAAATAAAAGTTAAGTAATATATTACAAACGCAAGTAAATTAAAACATTTTGCTACTAATATACAAATTGATGAAAGTACAAATAAATTTAGAATTTATAAGTTAGAAGATTAAAAGAAAATACATTATTTAATATTTTATTAGATAGTTCATTCTATTAAAAATGTTATACTATAGTATGCTATACTATGCTTATAGTATAGTAAGATTTGATAATTTTTATATAATTTGTAATGAATTAGGTAAAATTAAAAATATGCTGAGGCTAAAAATCTGAAAAAAATATAAAATAAGGTTCAATTCATAAAATAATTGAATGTTTCCAAGAATGTATTTTTTAAAGGTACAAACTAAAATAAGTACTTATATATTGTTATAGAAAAAGGATTTCGAATGTGCAGTCCAAATTACAATTCAACCGTTTTACAGAAATTTACTTGATGTATTAATTACGTTTGCAGTAAGTATAAAAAATATTTTATTCCCAACAAAAAATCACAATAATAATATCTGAGATATTTTTGAATTGATAAACGGACCAGAAATTATTTATGACGTGAAAAGACAATAATAAACGAGCTCATAATTTAAAAATAAATTTAGATGTTTCTATACATTTTTTCTTTAATGCATCAATTACTAGCATTAAAAAAGGAAATAAAACAGTGCTAGAATTTCTCAAAACAGTTTACAAAAGTCTATTCTATGAAAAACGACATAATTAAATACATTAATTTGATGATCAACTACAACTTTGATATATAATCAGCTTCAAATGCGTCAGCATAAGCACAATTGTTAATATCAATCATTTTCTATTTTTTATATGATTATATAACTATCCTAGAATTAATTTCCGATTTGAATTTAATTTTTATGATTTACTTTTATCTTTTTTCATGAATTACTCAACTACTTATTGCAAATTATGTTTAATGTTAGTTAAATTTATTTTACTACTAACCCTTTAATATATATAATTTTTTTGACAAAACTCTCATAAAATAATCATATCTAAGACATCATTGCTAATATGATAAACATTTTTTGTATTAAATTTTCTGAATGATTTTTTTGATAAAATGCCTTTGGACGCTGAAGTGAGTACACGTTTGTAAGTAATATTTTAGTTTAACTCTTTAATAATTTTCATAAATAACTAATTTAGTGATCGAGAAATAGGACCTTTATATGAGTAAAAAAAAAACTTGATTCCGGCGTTCGACCCATGCAATGGATGTTGAAACAAGAATTGAATTGCCGAAATTGAAAGAAACCGAAATTTTTAGATTAATACGTTAATCGTGTTTAGTTTACTATTTTTAATTGAGTTTGTAACTTAATATTTTCAGATGCGCCGACTAAAACAAATGTTAATAAAAGAATTTCACAAAGAAAATCATGCCCTCCAGTTCTTAGGATTGACCTACGCTCGTACATTTGAATGAAACAAAATTTATTTTATAAAATATTTATTCAAAAACTAAACTTAACTGCTGTATGTTTATACTAAAAGCTATGTTACCAGTCTATATAAATATAAGTTCTACGCTCTATGATTAATTTCGGTTGTAAATATTTTTAAAATAAACCAACAGTCTGTGTTGTCTGAGTCCTGGTTGAACAAGTTTCTTGTATAATTGTAATAATAATTATTCATATCATAAATTTACATTTAAATAGATTTAAATTAAAAAGTTTTTTGTGATTTAGGTAAGTACTAAATAATACTGAGTGTAATTAATACTTCTAAATTACAAAAATTTTAACATCATATAGTTACAATTGTGTTACAAATGTATTCTCATATTATATTAAGATTAAAAAATATCTTGTTACTCTAAAAAGCACTATGAAATTCAGACAGGTCTGCAAACTATTATTAATCAGTTGACTTATAGAAACTAATCTGTTTCCTAGCTATGATTAGATAAACAATAATCAATGATTTTCATATTTTTATTAAATGACAGATTCACAGAATCATATATAATTTTTTTTACATGTATAAAAATACAAAACTAGGCTAAGTAATTAAAATAACAATTGATGTATAACTAAGCTATAAAATTCAGAAGCGGTAAAGTAAGCTAATCAGTATTTCCAATTGCCCCACTCAGAACTAAATTAATTGCAGCTTGCACATCATTATTACAAATCACAAGTGCTTGCAAATTAATAGCATCATCTGTAAGCCCCAATTCTCTCATTCTATTCAACTGGATTGCAAGATTGCTATTTTCATTTCTATTTTCAGTTTGACTAGATGGTGTCACTCTATTAGTGTCTCTAACCTGTCGCATAGCATTTCTCAATGCATTACTAAACATAGAAGAAGTTATAATCGAGCTAGGTGAACGAATTAAACTAGAACTACTCGAAGATGTTGTTGGGACAGAATTTGTTGGGGTATTAGAATTGGATGTATTACTTGCAAAAGCAAGGGCAGCAGATAACTGATTAGAAGTAATCCTACTATTACTTTCAGAATTTGTTCTATGTGCTGGAAAACCAACACTGAAATTCTCAGATCCTGACGAGTCTGAATCACTTTCAGCCATTAGACTACTCATTGATGGCATACTAGCACTGGTGCCTGAAAGTTTAAATTTAAATAAATTAGCTATGAATGTAGAATAATGAATCTTCAAAAAGATTTAGATCATTTTTACCAGGTTTTTGTGTTTTTGCGGTCTTTTCATTCCCTTTAATCATCTCCATTACAAACACTAGCGCTTTGATAAGTGATGGGTGGTTTTGTGCCATTCTTCTGAAAGTACTCTCTACTTTTATTTGTGTTAACAAATATGGATCTTCTAAGAAGGCTATTGCTCTTAGATCATTGTTCAGCTCAGGCACTTCTTGTAATATCTTATTTAAATTTTCAGGACGGTTTATCTTCTGCAATATGTTAGAAATTGTCGAAAATTCTATATTCAATAGTGTTATTTATTATATCAAGTTCTAATCACTTAAATTAGTTTACGATTTAAATTAGTAAAAATACTTGATTATATGTCAGAACTTATGTTAATAATACAAAACATATTTTACCAACAATGCTGCCATTTTATTGTGTGGATAATTTCGAATGGATGCAAGAAATTGGTAAACTTTCAAAATTTCTTCATCTGAAATAGTAGGAGTTGGAATTTCCTTTGGTTTATGCCGAGTAAAAGTGTAAAGTACAACGTTTGGCTCAATACCACATTCAGACAATGTTTGACAATCATTCAATATTTGACAATTAAAAACAAGTTCTGTAAAAAAAGTATATATTTAGATAATGACTGATTTTAAATAAAATTACTTATAATAATACCTATAGGATTCTTTGGAGTCTCAAACCACTGCAGAAAGCGTTCTTTTAAAGATTTCACACTTTCTTCTGCATCACAAAAAGGAATTTTGTATTTCATACAATCGGTTTTTGATATTCGATGCATTATAGTAATAGACATTTTTATTAATACAAATAACTAAAAAAAAGTTTATTTGTTTGTGATGTTAAAGAATTTCGTAAATAAATATATAAATGCAAGTTTGGCCGTTTTGCTTGTAATGCTGAATTACATTTAATATTGACAGCTGTCATCTGCAATTCTTTTCCCTCTTTTCCATTCACGCGCCTATCTGACACAGAACTTCATACTGTAGCCCGCGAATTTTAAAAAGTAATTTAAAACAGAAATTTATTATTATTTTTATTAGATATTTTTGTAATATTTGTGTAAGTTCAAGAACTGATGCAGATGTAATACAATAATTGCATTTACCATAAAAATTGAAAATGTAAAAAATATCCAAATAAGTTTTTTTTACTTATATAGAAATAATACAGTTATCATATTAAATAATCTTATAACATTTTTCACATGCCCAAAACCAAAGGTTTTCACATTGCCTAGAATTCTTCTAAGTTGTGTGTGTATATATATTAAAAATTGAAATTTTTTCATGCTATTTCTATACAAAACTTTTTATTGAATTGCGCTCTATCTAAAATACAATATTACGAGCAAAAACTTTCAGAGAATTGTATTTTATCAATTTGGTACCATTTGAGCTTTTGGGAGCAAGGAAATTCAAAAATTAAGTTCATATTAAGAACCACCCTAAGTTCAAGTTCTTTAAGAAACCGTTCTCATACATTTTTATAAAAAAATAATGAAATTTTTTTAAATATAAATTTAATTATGTCAAAAGTTTATTACTCAAGGATTTTGAGGATTTGGAAATATTATTAGATCAATAAATATTACATAATATAAGTTTTGATTTATTTAAACGTACGAGCGTAGGTCAATCCCAAAAACTGGAGGGCATGATTTTCTTCATGAAATTCTTTTATTAACATTTGTTTTAGTGCTGTGCGGCGCATCTGCAAAAATAAGTCGCAAACTCAATAAAAAAAATAGTAAAATAAACTCTATTATCGTATTAATCTAAAATTTTCATTTAGTTTTATGCACCATATTTTAATGTACTTACTACATTTATCGGTTTCTTAGCGCAATCCAATTCTTGTTTCAACATCCATTGCACCGGTCGAACGCCAAAATGAAGTTTTGGATCAAAAATATCTTTTCTATACTCATATAAAGGTCCTATTTCTCGATCGCTAAATTAGTTATTTTTGAAAATTAGTAAATAGTCTTATTAAAGAATTTATCTAAAATATTACTTACAAGCGTGTACCCACTTCAGCGTCTAAAGGCATTTTGTCAAAAAAATTATTCAGAAAATGTAATACAAAAAATGCCTATTGTTTTGTTTATCAATGATGTCTTGGATATAAGAGTAGAAGAGCAATGTTTCAAACCAACGCAGAATTATATTTATGAAGTCGCTAATATTTCACAATCGAGTCGTCGCTTAAATTTTTTCTATGTTGGTAGCTCTGTCGTCACAACTTGACGTTCTACGAAAATCATATCCGGGATCTCTCTTTTCCATTTGATGGAACTTGTAGAAGTTTATTTCTAAATCTGTTAAAGAAATAATCATGGGCGAGGTACGTGTAAAATTTTTAATATTATTACAATATGTAGTAGATGATTTATAAAACGTTAACAATATTTTCTCAGAGCTATTACAGTGTATATTGATTTTTGTTGATTTATTATCATGTTAAAATGTATTCATTTCAATGTTATAGGCCGAAGAAACTCAAAAGAAGAAGCGTACCTTTAGAAAGTTTACTTTCAGAGGGGTCGACTTGGATCAATTACTGGATATGCCCAAGTAAGTGATTTTTAATATGATTGTGAATTTTGTAGGTTATGTGTATGTGGTTTACATGTTCAAAAATTGAATTATATCACTTGCTATTAGCTACTATTATCATTTGAATTGGTGATTATCATCCTAAATATCAAATACTAAATTTCTCAACATAATGTTATCCGCGAGTTAAATTCAATGTTTATAGAAATGGATCATATTTAGGGTTAAACCTGACAGCCGGTGAGTTGAATGTATCTTTTCGGTTTGCATTTGCATATTATTTAATATTGCCATTAAAAAGGATACGTTAAGATTACATGCAGTTAATTGCTATCCCAACTTTACTAGAAATTCATATGTCTGGAAGTAGTACATGTTACCCACACATAAATTGTTGATTTCTCTATTTATATTACATTGGAAATGTTTGTGTAAAAATGCTGTTTTAACAGATGTTAATGAAATTCTGCACTAGTAGTGCTCATACTTTGAAGAATTTGTTATATATGAACAGCTTTTCCTAATAGATTTTTTTATTTTAGTGAGCAATTGATGGAATTAATGCATGCAAGAGCTCGCAGGCGTTTTGCTCGTGGTTTGAAGCGCAAACCAATGGCACTTGTTAAAAAATTACGTAAAGCCAAAAAAGATGCTCCTCCAAATGAGAAACCTGAAATTGTAAAGACTCACCTTCGCAACATGATTATTGTTCCAGAGATGGTTGGTTCCATTGTTGGTGTTTACAATGGAAAAACATTCAATCAAGTTAGTTTATTTACCAATATTAATTTCAATATAAATATTGTGATCAATTACTAATTTATTTATATTTGTTAGGTTGAAATCAAACCTGAAATGATTGGACACTACTTGGGAGAATTTTCTGTGACATATAAGCCTGTTAAACACGGTAGACCAGGTATTGGTGCTACACACAGTTCCAGATTTATTCCACTTAAATAAAAATGTATGCTTTCCATTAATATATTTATTTGGAAAAGTAATATTGTCTTTCAGTTTACAATGAATATTTATTTGTCAACAGAATTGATGTCAAATTCTTACAATATGAGTTTGTATAACATATATGCTATTAACCCAGTTACAATTAAAATAAGTAGCCACTTCAAAAATTTTCTCATAACAACTTTACCGGCTCCTTCAATTGACTGAATTATTTTATTATTCATCAAAAATAATTTTTTACTCTCTGTGATAAACAATTGCTTGGTTGCCTCACTAAATTTGCGTGCTTCGTTGTCCATATCATCCCGAAGCTTCTTTTTTAAATTGTATAAATTAGCACCTTCAAAATCAGTGACTGCTTCTCCTGAGATAATAATAATTATTAAAATTATAGTAATAGAGATACAATACAAAATTGAAATTAAATTACCTGGTATATTTTTTGTTTTTGTTCGCTTTGGTAGTATAGAATATGCTCGTTTTTTTCTGAGAATCTGGCCACCAGACAGTAAACCCATGTATAAATGATAAACGTATACCAGCAATAAAATCTGTGATAAAACAAATAATCATTATGTTTTACAAAGTTTTTTTTATGACAAAAGCAGTACCTTATTATTATCAGCCAAATAATGCAGATGATTCAAATAGTTTGCTACACTTTCTCGTATAACATATGTCTTTTTCCAATCTTTTCCTAAGTAGAATTCTAAGTCTTTTTCAAATGCGTCTATTCTTCTCAATGATGTGCATAGCATTGGATGATCAACATTTCTTTCCAAATATTTAAAAATTTCATAAAACACCAATAATCCTTCAGCCCATACTGATTGGTCAGAGAGTGCTTAAAAATATGCATTTATGAATATATACAATTTATAATAACTAGAATACATATGAGAAACTGCAAATGCTTCTTATGCATAAAAATAAAACTGCAATACAATACATAAAACAATTTGACAATTGCAATA